CTTTCTTCAGTTAACACTGCTTCTCCTTTTCTTTTCTCTGCCATCCTTGTCCTCTCACTTGCTGGAATTGTTCACTTAATGGAGGTTCACAAGGATGTTTTGTTGGTGATGCCTGGCTCAGCATTGTGCAGGTTTTATGTTCTTGAAAACTCCTAGGGGAAATGGATTAAATAAGCATTTTTTAAAAGACAGTTCCTTCTAAAAGAGAAACCAACCTTGATGTGACATCTTACTTGAAATAGAAATTTGCTGTGCTTCCCAGTGGAGGATGTCCTGTCTATATATAAAAAATAACATAAAAATAAGTAATTTTTAACATTTATTTATTTAAATTTTTTTAATGATTTGAGAGAGAAAGGGGAGGGAGGGAAGAGAGAGAGAGAGCGCGCATGAAAAACATCAATTTGTTGTTTCACTTATTTATGCATTCGTCGGTTGTTTCTGGTATGTGCCCTGACTCGGGATTGAACCTGTAACCTTGGTGTATGAGGACATTGCTCCAAAATAAGTAATTTTTTTAAAAAAGCAATGGAGCCGAAACCGGTTTGGCTCAGTGGATAGAGCGTCGGCCTGCGGACTGAAAGGTCCCAGGTTCGATTCCGGTCAAGGGCATGTACCTGGGTTGCGGGCACATCCCCAGTAGGAGATGTGCAAGAGGCAGCTGATCGATGTTTCTCTCTCATCGATGTTTCTGACTCTCTATCTCTCTCTCTTCCTCTCTGTAAAAATTCAATAAAGTATATTTAAAAAAATAAAAATAAAATAAAAAAAGCAATGGAATACTTTAAAAAACACTGTTCTGAATTATTTTTTTTAAAAATAGTATTTAGAAAGCAATGGGATTAAATAATTATCACTCCAAATGTAAAGATCCTTGGCATGTGAAATTGAAGGAATGTTCCCTAATCAGTGGGAATTTACTTCTGGCTTTACTTTTCTTTGTTTTTATTTCAGTGTACTTGAAAAGCATTATTTTCTAGAAGCAAGAGTCCTTCCAGAAGCAAAAATGACTTGGAAAGGGTGGCCTGGGGAGGTAGTCTTGACTCTGTTGGTTGTTGTTGCAGCTTACTTTCCTTTTACTTCGATTATCAAATTATGATATAACTAGGCAGGAAAATGTGGAGGAAACACTATCCTGTTTCTTTAACCCCAGTGTGGACAGTGTTGGAAAGTTATCTTCCTGACAGTGGAAAGGAAATAAAAAGAATGGAAGAGCCCCAAACTCAACGACTGGCATTGGTAAAGAGTCCATATTTCATTATTAGAAATCTAAAATTATTTGGATGGAATGGAAAGCTGTTAGCAATATGTGGGAAAGTAAATTCATGAACAGTTTTTTCTGTTTAATCATGCAGAGATGAACATGAAAATGTGGATACTAGATGCCATCTTTCCTGATTTGCTGCTGAAGTCATTATCATTCCTTTAAAATAAGATCCCTGTTAACATATTTCTGTCTCAATTAATGTCACTCTCATTTTGCTGGTGAGTCTTCATGAAACCTGAAGGCAT